CCCCTGTGCTCCCCGGTCAACAAAAGGGCAGCCGAACCCCGGGAATGCCCGGGCCCGACCTTCCCACCGCCCCGGCCCGGGGCTCCAGGACCTGGGGGAGGCGGGGGGCGGGGCGGGGGAGCTCGGGCCCCCGGCCGGACTCCGGGCCGCAGATCACTCCAGCCTGGGTCACCTCCCGAGGCCCGGCCCGCTCCGGGAAAAGTGGGCGCAGGTGCGCCCCTCCCCGCCACCCGCCGCCGAAAGCCCGGATGCCTGCACCCCAAGGGCGCCCCACCCCCTCCCCGGCGGGACCACCGTGGGGGAGCCGGGTGGCTGGTTTGGGGGTGCGCGTGCAGGCCGGTCACCCCCCAAAACGCCGGTCCGCTGCGGTCCCCGCCCCGCCCCGCCCCGGGCGGGCTTTTCTTGCGGGGACGGAGAGGGTATTATTCTAATTTTGCAAAATGCACAGCAGCTAATTAAGTCAAGGAGCCCCTCGGCTTTTGCATGTGAATGGGGGCTGGTAAATCCCCAGCTCCGCGGCGGCGGGGGTCGCGGGGGACGGTCCCCAACTCAGGGTTAATGAAGTAGGCGAGGAGTCTCTCACAGCCTCCTGCAAACAAAACCCCCCAAGCAACAAACCCTGCCCAAATCCTACACGGATTGACTTAAACCCAGGGGGATAAGTGCTTTAAATTAATCTCATTGAATAAGAATGAGACCAAACAAAACTCTTTAAAATCATATTAAAAATCTATCAAAGGACAACTTGCACTGGTTGCTTTTCATTCTGTGGAAGTGGAGGAGGAAGGCAGAGCCAACACCCTCACATTTACACAGCGCAGTGTAAACCGCACACACATTCTCCACTATGTAATTGTCCTTGTACCGCAGGGGCGACTTCGCAGCGTACATTAATGAAGAACAAGCCTTCCCTACAAGTTTATAATGACAATATTCTAAATTGTCCCGCACGTCGCATCGGTAATAATAACTCCACCACCTCTGGCAGCGGCGAGGTGGGCTCCTTCCATCCATTTAAAAGGCTAAATTGGCTTCTCAGTTCCCAACCTTGGGGCTGGGTGAGCGCAATGAGGGAGCGAGCAACCCCAGGGGAGTGAGGAGCCATTTTCTGGGCTCCTTGGCTACCGTGAGCCGCAACTAAGCTTAAGAGAATTTCAACCCTTTCCTCCCGAAGCCGAGCCTTCAGAAGCCCCAGGCTTCTGGGGGGTGGGCGTCTGGCTGGTTTTAAGGGTGCCATGACCCCCTCACCGATGGCCTTGGCTCTGTTTTTCCTGATGGAGCATGTGAAGAGATAAAAGTTTAATGGAGACTTAGTTAAGCTCAGCTAAGCACCGTTGCAAGCTTATTAAGTTTTCTGGGGGAAAAGCCCTCGATTTCTGTCTCTGGGTGGTGGTGACTGGGTTTTAAGGGATTGCACTGTGTGGAAATGCTAATGTGCCTGGCTTGGGAGATTTCTATTTCCTGCTCTACACCAACTCACCTTTCACTCCAGGGAAAAAAAGGAAAAATGAAAGAACTTGCTGGGCTGTCCTGGGGGTGGAGACACTCTTTGGATGGCACTGGCTGACCCAGGCCTCTCCAAGGCCCTCAGCTCTCCCGTGCATAGAAGGGCAGCATGGGGGTGGGAGAGAGGTGGACAGCTAGGGTTACTCTGGGTTCCAAAAATAGCATTTTCTGGGGCTGGGAAGGTGGCTCAGTGGTAGGGGGCTTGCTTCACATGCATGAGGCCCTGAGTTCCACTCCTCAGCACCACATAAGCAGACAAAGCCTGAAGTGGCGCTGTGGCTCAAGTGGTAGAGCACTAGCCTTGAGCTGAAGAGCTGAGGGACAGCACCCAGGCCTAAAGTTCAGGCCCTACAACCGACTAAAAAAAGCCCCAAAATAGCATTTTACAAGCCCACTGGAGGAAAAAGCTAAAGCTTCAACGTTCTAGTCCAATTCCAAAGTCTCTGATTTTAATGTGGCAACCAGCCTGATGTCAGGGAAATGGTTAGCCAAGAAAAATAGCAAAGAGCCATGATTAAAAATACACACAAAATTAGAATGTGTTGTGGAATTAGGCTAAAGCTTTGCCTAATTGATACCTGAAATGTATAATCTGTCAAGAGCAGCAAAAAGAGATTTATTATAAGGTTATTTAAATTTAGACAATATTAACCCTAAATCTGCTAAATCCATGTTTATTAACTAGGTGATTTATTAATTTTGCTTAGAAGCAGGCCCACTAGTGTTTCTGGAAAGTTACCTCCCCCTTCACAAGTCACAAGTGTAAAAATCACTCTTTGGGAGGAGTTTGACCTGTTCCTGCAGGAATGCAGCCCCATGCAATGTCCCAGGAGGGGGTCTCTGACCATCCCCAAGTCCCAGCCTCCCTTCTCCCGTCCACACTGCTAACCCAGGGAACTAAAGGTGGCAGATTTACCCTAGTGGGCGTGACATGTGCTGTGGTTTTTGTTGTTGTAATTATTGTTACAAATTTCACCAGTGATTCCTGCTAATTCTCACCACAGCCTGGCCCGAGGACTACGTTTTCATCACACAATTGTCTGGATCAAACTCATCTCCGCAGGCCCGCACCCCCTCTCCTGGCGGCTCAGCTCACAGGGCTCAGGCGTGTCCCTGGGCGCCTGGGTCCTGCTTCACAGACCCTTCAGAAGCGGGAGAACACAGCCGGGCTGAGATAGAGCCATGTTACACTTTAACCCTTTCTCTTGTGAGCCTCTCTGTAATGTCCAAATCTTACATTTATTGGGAAATCAATACGCTCCAGGGGTCTTCTTTCAAACCTCCCAGAAAATACAATGGGGGTCGAGGGGAGCTGGGGTCTGGGTCACAACACAAAGGCCCCAGACCTTTCTTAAAGACAAGCAGGGATTGGATGGGAAAAAGCAGCTCGGGCGCTGGTGCCTTCTGACTTCAAAGGCAAATAATAAAAAGGCAACAGTAAATCAATTAGCCCTGAGAGAGAGATGTGTGGACATACAAGGGGGAGGGGGCGTGGACAACGCGGTGTGGAGGAGGCCGCGCCCACCAGCACTGCAAATGCCTGGGGTTCCCACCCACACAGAAACTTGTGGTTCAGGTAACAAAGCATTTATATATTAAGAAAATAAGTGACACATACTTTTCCCTTCTTTTACATAAGCTCATTTCCAGTTTTTAAAACCCATGCCAATATACAACACAGCGGTGGTGGTGGTGTTGCCCCAGGAAGCAGCTTCGTGGCAGGTGTGGTCTGGGGTGTCTGGGGCGGTGACTGGGGGACCCAGCGGCTGACTGGTGTGGGGCTCCAGGCCTTGGCGACTGGCCACGCAGGGTGGGGTGTCATTCCTTTCTCAGAGGCTCCTCAGAACCGGACGGCAGTCCAGATCGATGCACAAAGGCTTGCTGAGCAGCTTTACTGTCCCCGGTTGGCCTCCAGGCCCTCTGGGTGGCAGGGAGTGGCTTCAGCGTTCCCACGGCCGCCGCGGGGCCTCCTGGGTGCCTCGCTTCGAGGCCTGGGCGCTGGCCCCCAGCCCACTTGAGTATTCTGAGCGCAGGAGCTGGGCGAGGCGGTGTTTGCTCTGGGTCTGCTGACGAGGGTCGGGCCTGGGGGACAGGAACAGAACAGCGAGGGAAAGAAACTTTAGTATTTTTTTTTCTTTCTCATTTGGAAAGGCTGACGGCAGCTGGCTGAGGCTGGGAAGCTGACATTTTTGTATTACAGAGGCGCCATGCCTTCAATAGCGCGCGTTTTGATATTCTATGCACCAGAAGATTAGATACAGCGCTGACAGATTTTCATAAGGGTGGCAAAATATCATGGCATTTTTAAAAGTGAAGCTTTGTTCTGTGTTGTTTTCATGGAAAAAGAGAGCTCTGCACCATCATACTGATGGCAAATGAAGTGTGTGATACCGTACTTTGCCAAAGGATGGGGGGGGGGACCCCAAGCTCCACCCCGCAGCGCGAGAGTTCCCTGCAGCCTCCTGCCTGGCCCAGGGCCTTGGGCCTCCAGGGCAGCAGGCTGGTCCCCGAGGAAACCTTCCTAAAATGCTTGTGACCCATGTGGAAGGCAAGCCCAGGGCACAGCCCAGGCCCAGGCCAAGGTACCCGCTGGAGCGGGGAACTCTGGCAAACTGCTCTGGGAAGAGCAGACCCGTAAGAGGAAGTCCAATGTGACCCGCACGAGCGTGACACTGAAGAATAAGACGTTTTCTAAGTGGGATTCCGCCGACAAGGCTGCGCGGGCTGCGGGCCGGGTGGCGCGGGGCAGGGCTGTAGGCAGTGCGGTGTTCTCACCAAGGCAGCGGCTGGGGTCTGAGGCTCTTCACAACATCTCCTCTGCTGCAGTCATCAGAATAAATAGACCTGAAACTGTGGTCAAGTAAGCAACAAAAACCAAAGCCCAAGAATGGACTGGACGATGAGAACTGAGCTCTGGGGACTGCGAGGCGCGGGAACCTGAGCCCATGGTCCTGGGCAGGGGACACAGCCACGCTGTGTCCCCCCGGAGACTGGCATTAGGGTGATCGCACAGGGCACAAGGCACGGATTCGGCGAGACTGGAGATACACCAGGCAGGACCGGGAAGGACTTATGCTCATTATCTCCTCTAATCCTCACCTGATGAGGTGGGCCTTATTACCCTCAGTTTACAAGGGCAGTCGAGCGAGGCGGGAGGCTGTGTGGCCAGCTCCCTGCATGGGGAGTGGGGGCAGTGGTGGGAGAGCCTGGCTGAGATCTGAGGACCTGCTCTGACCTGGGGAGTGGCTGGAGGGATGGTTTTAATGGAATGGAGGAGCCAGGGGTCAGGAGAGAGAGAGCAAGGGGGGGCTTCAGAACCAGCTCTGCCACCCACTGCTGAGAGCCAGGCTGTTTCCTCATCTGAGAAATGGGGACGCACGGAGGACGGAGCTCGTGAGGCTATGGAGGACTACCTGCCATGAGACTGAAGTGCCAGTTTGTGCCTGGTGCACGAATCCTGACCATCACGCACAAGCCAGGACTCATCCTGCGGCCCCCGAGCTGGGCTAGGGCTTGTCGGGTCACGTCCCCCACTTCCTAATGCGCAACAGCTCCAGACCGTCCGCCCGCCGCGTGGACCGTGCACACGTGGTGCCGGCGGAGGTCCGAGCTCTGAGGACCCCGCGTAGTGCTTGCAAGCCTCTGACCTGCTCCGCGCAGATGTGCGCTCTCCTTGTTGGTGGTTTATTTTTAGGCTGTGACAGGAAGGACCGCTTTTCCCTCCCTCATTTGAAGCCAGGGACTCACGATGTGTAGAATTTTAAGCGTAGCAAGCTGAGTTTCAGCATACGCAAAACTTCAGTCTCACTATTCTCGCTCCCTGCACAGGCAGCAGCTCTGCTGCTCAAGAATCACAGTGAGCACGATCCCACACGCGTGACCTGCTCATGCATGGCCACAGAGCCAGCAAGGAGGCAGGCCTCTGTCGCTGCCACGGCCCGAAGTCCGGAGCAGACGCCCCGGCACACACAAGCACCCGTCCCCTTGACGCAAGCCCTTCTCCTCCCAGAGAACCCAGCAGGGCTAGAGCAGAGGCCGGAAGCCCTAGTGGGTATGAGACACCTAGCGGGAATGTTTATCAAGGACCTCCAGGGCCACATGGGGGTGCCGTTGGAAAGCGTGTCTTGGGGCTGAGGGAAAGCGAGGGGGGTGAAGTGTATGCTTATGGGTTTGACCCCCAGATATAGATCTCGAGGTGAGTTGGCTCCCTGGACAGCTGCTCCGCCTCCCTGGTGCTGGTCCGCGCTTTTCACTGGGGCTGCCAGCCCGGCCGTGCATGCAGCAAGCAGAGCGCACGTGGTGCAGGCCCAGACCTCTCTCTCAGTGGTCTGGCCGCCTCCAAGGCCGCCGTGCCGTCAGAGGCATGGATGGCCATGTGGGCCGCGGCTGCCGGCACGTGTCTCTCCTCCTGTTTCAAGG